ACAGCCTCACTGGCTGGCAGCTCAAGGTTATAGCTAAAAACCTGAGGTCTAGAGCTCCAGTCCTGGCCATCCACTCACTTTCAGGTACACCACTAGCTTAAGGTGTACCTGAAACTCTACCTCCTACATCCAGCCTTTTCCAAATCTCCCAGCACACAACGACCAATGACCTCTCTCCACCTCACAGTGGCCTACGCCACCTAACACTTCCCAGCCTCCACTCTGGGACACCATGCCCACCACCCTCCCCCCCCAATCTGGGCCACAAGGTCACTGAGGGTGGAAGCCACATGCCCAAGATGCCCTTATCACGTTCTCTCCAGGACAGCTACAAGGACCTTAAGCATGTTACCCCAGTGTGGACTTGATCTTTGCTGGTCTACGGTCCATCTTTCATTAGAATGCAGGTATTTTCTGGATTACTTGCCACTGCACAGGAGTTAGAGCCTTTACTTCCACATCTGTGCCATGGGACCGATAACCACCCACACTCATGCCCTCAGGGTGAGAGGAGCCAGAGCTGCACCGCCCTCTCATGAAGCCAGGTGACTGCAGGGTCTGCAGGTGGTTAGCTAATGCTTGTAGGTGGGTCGTGTGTTTTCAGTTTTGTTAAAAAAGAAAAAAGGAACTATAAGAGCATTTACGTTTCCATTATAAAGATGACAACACTAACCTAGGAATTTTCAAGAACTCGTGTTGGCTGTTTGAAATACATCCCTTGCCCTCACACACTCCAACTTTAAGTGAACTCAGCATACAGAAATCCAATTTAATCAAAAGAAACGAGGGAGCAAATATTTCTGTGCGCTAAGGATTTACAATGGATTTTCCTTAAATAGTAATCCTCCCTGGTACATTTTAAGATATTACATCAGTCACAAAAATTGTGTTTGCCAACTGGAGAGCATCAGCTATTTAAAATAAGTCATGCCTCTAACAACTGGAAATAATTCAGAGCCTCTTCTGGAGGATCCTCCTCTCAAAATTGGAGTTACATTTTCATTTACAGTTCCTTGAAAACCCATAGAAAACTCACTTTAGTTGCTGAGAGAAGAATGATCAAAAGTGTACCCTCATCAGGGTCCCTGCCCTCTGAATTATTGGAGGGCGTCAGAGAGAGGAAAGAGCAACAGTAAAATGGTTTCTGTTCCTGCAATTAATGTTCCAAAAGCATCAAGAAGTTGCTCAGTGTTCAATGCTTGCTTATGAATAATTTTTTACACTCTTGCTTGAATAAGAATACACACACTTAAAAAAAATCACTCAAAAGTTGGGGTTTAGAAAATAGAGCTTAGTTGTGAGTTTCGAGAGCAGCACAGACCATTACCCTCTGGTTCTGCATTTGCAACTTCCTGACACCTTGGGTTTCTGTGCCACGGGGCAAGAACATCTGTCGGACTCTGCAAGGACAGAGCCAAATTTCAAATTTTGGGGAAGTGTTAAGTGGCGTCAGCCACTGTGAGCTGGAAACAGGGGCCATTGGTTATTGTAAAATTTTGATTTCAAGGGAAAGAATCCCTTATAGAACTTGGCTTTCAAAAAAACCCTTCTGCAAGAAACCTGCAAAGCAGTTTTACACACCACAACATAGTAACCACATCACTTGAGGGAGTGAAGACTCGACCTGCCCTGTCCAGTGGGCCCTTGGTGATCAGAGCTCCAGAGAGGCAGGGTCCTGTGATGCTCTCAGAGCCATCTCTGCCACCTGTATACCTTCCACTCCCCATCTATCCCAGGCTGATCAGATGCAAACTCATGTGGTCCAGGTCAGATAAAGCATAGCTCTCTCAGCAGCTCAGTCAAGGCCAAGTTCAAAGTCACAATCTCACATGCTCCATTAATAAATAACAAGTGCTTGGTAGTCTGTGCTAAGGAAAGTGCTGAGTGCTTTATGAGTATTTTGTCATTTAATTCTAACAGCCCCAGGATGGGTGTGTTGATAGTCCCATTGGTAAGGAAACAGGTAGGAACAGTCAGGCAACCAGGCCCAGGTGGGAAGAACCCTAATAGTTTCTGCATTGGTCTCCTGGACCTCTGGTTGCAGAACATTCCGTGGGCCCAGCCATCATGCTAGGAGAAGCTGCTCGAGGGGCTTTGGGCCACAGTTCCTGCTGAGCTCAGTTGCCCCAAACAGCCCCAGACTTCAGAGTGAGAAGCGGGCAGATGACTCCAAGCTCAGGCATGAGGGGGCAGGAGGAAGTGTTAGATAAAGTGTGCAGGAGGCCTCTGGTGCAGACTGGGCTGTGCTGAAGGCCCACGCCACCAATCCAGACTAAATTGTTTATCTGACCTTCAGAGAAATAAGGTGAGTGAGACCACACCAGATTCTCAGACATGCCAGTTTAGCCAGCGTGATATGCAGTTCCCTCTGCTTACACCTTTACAAGGGAAGTAACTTTGAAACAACCAACCTCCTTTTTGTTCCGTTTGTCTGCTTTCTTCAGTCCTTTCCTCTTTACAAAACCAATCTCCTCCACTCAGCCCATCAAACACTCATTCTGTTGTATGGAATGAGGTGTTGCCGGATTACAGAATCACCACTGTGACGTCAATTAAGATCTTTAAACTGGAGTCACTGCCATCAGGCCCTGTCCAAAGTCCTGACGCACAGGATCCGCAAGTGTGCTAAGGTGACTGCTGTCTGGGGCCACTAGGCACCGGGCAGTTTGATATGGAACAAGGGCAACAAGCACAGAACTTTGTTTTACAGTTGATGAAACACAAAGCACAGGAAAGGGACAGCAAGAACTCAAACTACGTTGTGAATCTAAAGACGCATTTGGACCCACCAAGCTGCACTGCACCCTGTGCAACCACTATTTGTTGTTTAGTCAACAGAGCCATCTCCAGTGCACTAATCCAGATTTTGCCTTTTTAAAAGTGCCTTCATCTGCCCTGATTTGATGGTTCTGGAGCTTGCACAAGCAGCTAGAGGGCTTATCAAACTGAGGGGGGCCATGCCCCTAGGGTTTATGAGTCCAGACTTCTAGGATGGGCCCCAGAATCTGTTTCTAAAAAGTTCCCAGGTGGTGATGATGATGCTGGTCTAAGAACTGCACTGTGAAAGCCACAGGTACAGATGTTCCTGAAAGGGTAACAGAAGTTTCAAGAGCAACGCCCCTTTGGAACAAGCCATCATTGTCTGACCTCATCACACATGACAGATCCCACAGCTTTCTCAGGGGCTCCCAGGGCAGTGGTCGCCTGGTCTGGTCTCTTTCATAGGGTTACCTCTGTGGTTTTCGGACATTGGCAAAGGGCAGAGACACCGAGGACAGCAGGGTGGGTGAGCATGCACATTTGGTGTGAGAAAGCTGCTGAAAGCTGCTTTTCTATGAGCCGGTTTTCTGAAGCTGTTTCCAGTTCAGGTAGCCATATAGGCCATTCCTTCAGGGGAATGAGTGAAAGGAAAGAAGGCAGAAGAGCTGCCTGCTGAGCTCTGGCCCAGCCTCCTGTGTGCCGGGAGGCCCAGCCACTCTCTTATCTGAGCTTGCAGCTCTGCACCAGCCAACTGCAGTCTTCACCTCTCCCAAAGGAGCTGCACACTTTCAGTCTCTGTGCTTTGGTAAGTTGCTCTTGTCCCCTTCAAGGACACATTCCACCAACTCTTTGGGATTTCTCCAACTAGTTCAAGGACACTTGCTGCTGATTCAGTTTTGAAGAAAACACATTTAAGAAGTGACTCATTTTAATTACACCAGGAAAGTGATATACAATATGGAAAAAATAATTTTGGTCCAAAGTTCTTTTAAGTGTCTCTGTTTGAAAAATTACTGCAAGACACTACCTATAATCTTATGGCAAATGCAAAAGGTAACACACTAAAATTGCTACTGCTTGTTAATCACTAATAAGTGCTGGGTTGGCTCCACACCTTCCAGCACTGTCCCCACAGCCAGCCTAGGAGCTGAGAACACAAAGGCTTGGAGAAGAGAACACCCAACAGTGGACAGGGAGCCTCAGAGAGGCCACCTCCAAAGCTGGGGCCGTGGGAAGGGGCATGATGCTGCAACAAAAACCTTGGGATCCTTTTTTAAACACTCTCTCGACTCCACCAAACAGGTTTTGGCCATGCTCCCAGGCCACAGCCCCTCCCAACTGCCAGGCGGCTAGGTGCCTCCTGGAGGCCCACCCATCATGCTGGCGGCACCCTGCAGTTCTGGGCCTACTCCACACTTTGTTTAGGTTGGGTAAGGGTGCAGTGTGCGTTCCCCAACTCCCAACCTTAGCTGAACTGCAGTGGATTCAGGCTCAGTAGATACCCCACGACTGGCTGCTGGAGCTGGTATCCTGGGATCTCAGGCCCAGCCAGTCTGCAGCAGGCGGTGTGTCTCTGGGCGCAGCTCTCCACGCTGAGAACAGGGAGGCCTGCTGTTACTTCCTTCCCATGCACAAGCCCCACATAAGGAGGTCAGCAATTCCAGCTGCTGGGCCGGATTTTCTCCTCCCCAAGCCACCCCCACAACTCCTTTTGTTTACATGGGCAACGTTTTCCCCCAGGCGGATCCCAGAGCAGAACAGCCACACGCTTTCAGTTTTTCCCTCCAGCCCTGGGTACCAGAATAGGAAGTCCCCACTCCTGGGAGCTCCTGGGTCGCCAGCTGGTCTCCACAGGCTTGCACTCGCGGCGCTGTGCACCCTGCAATTGAACTTTGGAGACAGCCAGTGAAGGGTGGTGCCCGGGCACCACCAGCGGCTGGGCACCTCAAGCTGTAGCCCGGTGTCCAGCGCCATCCCGAGCTGGGAACAAGTATTCGAGCTCCAGGGTGTAGCAGGTGGGGTGGGGGTGGGGGTGTTGGGACTGGACCCTCTGGGGTCCTGTGGGCTTCGCATCGGAAGTGACTTGGAGCCACGGTTTACGGTGGGTGGTGCAGAACCCCGGAGGAGGGGTCCTATAGGGCTGCTAAGACGCCTGCTGTGATCCTCCTGGCCTGGGGATCTTCAAGTCCCCTTAGGACCCAAGAGTTGGGGGCGTGCTGGATGACCCGAAGCCCACTCACCAGACACGTTTAACTGGCCTCCCAGGAACCAGGCGATCTTGCCACTGCTGAAGTCGCAGTCCCAGACAGTGTGGTAGGGGGTGTCCCACACGAGAGTGTCCCGCGCCAGCTGGCCCCAGAAGGCGGCTGGGTCCTGGGCCGCCTGTGCGCTGAGCGCGGGGTACAAGCCAGGCTGCGCGGCGGCGGCGGCGGCGGGGGCGCTGCCCGAGAGCCCGGAGGCCGCCCCTCGAGGCACACTCACCCCTCGCAGTGGCCGCACCGGCTGCCCGGAGCGTACTCCTCGCAGGCTGCCCAGCAGCCGCCCAACGCCGTGGCCCAGACTGCGCGCCGCCATTTAGTCCGACGCCCCAACGCTGGCTGTGCGTCCCGGCGGTGCTGCGAGCTAGGGGCGCTCCTTAGAGTATTGAGGGCCCCGCCCCCGCCCCGCCCTCGGCCGCCACCCACTGCTCCGGGGCCCCTTCCAGTCCTGAGCCCTCCGAGTCTCCACCACTTCTTGTCCAGCCATTAAGGACGAGACAGCGAAGGAAAAGCCTGGGGAAGGGGCTCGAGAGAGCGCTGGGGAAGCCAGGGCGGGGGGGAACGGGGTCCGGGCCCTCTGGGTGTGACGCGCCCCGCTGCTCTGCGCCCCCGCCCTGCCGCTCCACGGCGTCTGCTGTTTTGGTTTCAGTTTGTCCGCTGGTCTTCAAGACCCAACAGCTTCGCCTGGGTGGCAATAGAAGAGGCGCATGCCCTGGGGCGCAGTCTCTGGGACTGGGGCGCCGGGACACGCTGGGATGGGAAAGAGCCGGCACAGAAAGCCAGGGATTGGTGGAGCAAAGCGCCCTGGCTCCGAGGGCCACAGGTCGGTGGGGGGCTAAAGCCAAAGCTCTGATCCCTTTGTGACCCTGAGAGCATACCTCTCACCCAGCCTTGCTGGCCGGCGGCCCTCAAGACAGGGGGCTGTGGAGGCCTCCGTCCACAGGAGGGACAGTTTATCACGGAAGCAAATGCTGCTGCCAAACTTGGCCAATTTGGAGCCATGGAAAACTTTCTCCAGTTGCTCCAGCATCTGTGGCCTGAGTTCAGACCCTGGCATTTCTATGACAGCTCTGTGACCTTGAGCAAGTTCCTTAACGTCTCTGTGCCTCATTTTCCTTTTTTTGAAAACTGGAGTAATGCTTCCTTATCAGGAACGGCCATAAAGGAGAAATTAGGTAACTGTAAGCTGTCTACCCCTGAGCTGGCGCTCAGTAAGCTCAACTGGGGAAGCGGGTCTTGCTGTGTGGAGCCAGGAAGGATGTAGAAGGAAGCTGATATGACACCCTCTACCATGTTCTCAAATATTCCAACACCTGGGCAGTGCCTGTGGCTTAAAGGAGTAGGGCGCCAGCCCCATATGCCAGAGGAGGCAGGTTCAAACTCAGCCTCAGCCAAAACTGGGAAAAAAAAAAAAATTCCAACACCCAAGAAGTAAAGACATGATAAAGAAAGTAAACACAGGGCAAGTTATTTTAGAAAACTGGTTTGTTGAGTTCTTTCGTAGGAGAGAACTTCCTTCTTGTTAGTTGTGCTGTGTGCAGAGGGAGAGAGGGCCCCTTGCAGGAGCTGCTATCAGAATCAGCCCCTAGCCAGCCTGTGGAATGCTGCCTCCTGCCAGAGAGCAGAGGCTTGTGAGGCTGGAAAAACAGTGACAATTGTGAGAACTACATGTGCCCTGCCTGGTGCCAAGCACTTGACCTGTGTTTGCTAATTTAAAAGTTATCTAGTGCTGTGAGCCTCTGCCAACTGTCAACCTCCTAATGGAACAAATGAGGAAACTGAGCCCAAGCCAGGAACAGGACTTAGCAGGGAGCTCAGTGTTGGCTAATGAGAACAGACTGGCAGCCAGTGTCCCCAACTATACCACTTGGCCTAAATTCCCATTTATAATAGCATGTATAAATGGTAAATAGAGAACAAGCCTGTGGCAGGTGATTCCAAGGATGTCCACCAACATTCCATCGCCATGCGTGCTGTTCCATCAATAGGAGGACCCAGCTGGCCTTATTGCTTTGACTAAGAAAACCTGGAGGAAGGGATGCCCCCAAAGTGCTGGGTCTATTCCCACTGCTGCAGCTCCTCCTCTCTTGGAATCCAGCTGCCACACTGTGCAGAAGCTAGGCAGGCTTTCTGAAAGGAGAGACAGTGAGGAGGACTGAACTGTCCTACCCCACAGCCAGGACCCGCCCCAGACAAGTATGAGGACGTGGTGGGTGTTCTTACCTCAGGCAAGGCAGCCTCATGAGTGATCCCAGATAACACCAGGGTGAGCTCGCAGAATTATGAGAATAAAGTGTTTTCAAGCCAGTCCATGTTGGGATGGTTTGTTACTCAGCAGGAGATAACCAATATAGTACCTGGACCAGAAAATGCATAGCTGTTCTGTGACTTGCAAGCCTCTGTCTTTTAGCCCCTTTTACAGGGTGCCTTTCGTATTCTTGCCCCCAAAGGGTTGGAGTGTCCAAAGCCTGAGTCCTCATACCTCTCCTCTTCTCCTCTGTCCCCTGGGAGGTAGCAGCCAGCTCTCTCTATTCTCAGACTCTCAAATTGGTTTTTCTAGCCTGGATTTTTCCTCCAAATTTCAGCCCTCTATTCAAATGTCTAACTCACATCTCAAACATTGTGTCCTGGGGGTTCTTTTATGTTAGTCAAGGAAGCAATATTTGCTTGCTCAGGCTTATTATACCTTTGCCACTCCAGACTCCCTCCTCACACTGCATGTGCAGTGTGTCAGCACGCCCTGCCCCTCATCTGCAGACTGTCTGAAGCACTGGACCTCTTCTTCCATCATCACCCTCTCCCTTTCCCAACCCAGTCACACCTATCTCCTTGGGGATTATTCAGTAAGCTTCTAATTGCTTTCCCTCCTGCCTCTGCAGCCTGACCAGCAGCTAGTGCAATTCCTTTTAAATAAAGGTCAGAATAAGTTGCTGTGTGACTTGGAGCAATCTAGAGGTTCCCACTCCCCAGTTCCCTCAAACTAAAGGTTAAATCCTTACTCTGGCCCACAAGGCCACACCCTCACTACTCACAGTGTGGCAGATGGGCCAGCAGAATGGGCAGCACCCGGGCACTCTGTAGAAATGCAGGGTGCCAGGCCCCTTTTGGCCTGCTGCATCAGAATCTGCAGTTTAACAAATCCCCTGGGGACCTGCGGGTACATTCAGGTTTGGGCAGCACCTGGCTGCCTGATGCAGCCTCACCCTGCCAGGTCACCATCTCCCCTACTCTCTCCTCACTGACCAGCTCCAGCCACCCTGGCCTCCCACGGTCCCTCCAGCGCTAGGCATGCTCTGCCTCAGGACCTTTGCCTGAGCCGTCCCCTCTGCTGGGCTACTCTGCCCCGATGCCTACATAGATCTCCCTCACTTCTTCAGGGATCGTCAAATATCCCTAAGAGGCCTTCTCTGTCACCTACATCGGGCACATTTCCGCCGCTCCTTCCCTAGTCCCAACCCCTGACTTTATTTTTCTCCTGAGCTCTTACACATTAGCTCTCGATTTATTTTCTCTCTCCTTGTACCAGAGAGGAGCTCTTAAGATGTGCCAGCTCTTTGCTTGCAACTGTATCTCTAGCACCTTTGTTTTCTGAATTTCAATCCATTACAATGAAAATATGCACAGAATTGACACTATTCAAAATAAATGTATTTTATTTATTCTGTTCAGATTATCTTCCTTCAGAAATATTTCTGTTTCTGGCAGGTTGGGTAGGAAGAGTGGTTGTGTGCACATAAAACATTTCAGAACCAGGCTCAGCACCTGTAGCTCAGCGGGTAGGGTGCCAGCCACATGCACCAGAGCTGGCGGGTTCAATCCAGCCTGGGCCTGCCCAACAACAATGACAACTACAACCAAAAAATAGCTGGGTGTTGTGGCAGGTGCCTGTAGTCCCAGCTACCTGGGAGGCTGAGTCAAGAGAATCGCTTAAGCCCAAGAGTTTGAGGTTGCTGTGAGCCATGATGCCATAGCACTCTACCCAGGGTGACAGCTTGAGACCCTATCTCAAAAAGAAATTTTTTTTCACAACCAACCAGGTGCCACAGAGCTGCACTTCCTGCTGCCCAGATCACTCCAGACGACCCAGAGACCTTCCTTCCAGTGTTGCAGCCCAAGGTCATCCCTGCTGCTGCTGCCTCCCAGCAACCCGTAAGCAGCTCTCCCAGAACTAGAACAAAGTTGAGCACCACCCTACACCCATTAGTCTCCTCCTCCACTTCCCCTCGGGCCCTTGGAGGTTTAGAGGGGACAGCAGGGTCATCCTGGCAGTGTTGGTCACATTTCCTCCCTGAAAAGCCCCGGGCTCCAACCTCAGCAGGGCCCTCTGGCAGACAGGGAACAATTGGCTATAGTGCAGAGCAGGCTGCAGGTGCCCGGAGGGCTCAGGGAGCTTCCCTGGAACTCTAGGCCTTAGTTTCCAACCCTCACAACCTGCAGAGATGGATGTTTCTGTCCTTACTCTACGAGTGAGGATAGCAGTTCACCCAAGGCCACCAACAGGCAGGTAGGGGAGCCACACCTTTCTGCCTCCAGGCTGCTTAGCTTAATACCTTTAGGAGGTGTCCTGGACATGGCTGGTGGTTGGCCCTCAGAGCTCCTACCACCCCCAATTGCTCAGAGAGGCCAGCAGGGCGCTCTGAGAAACAGGCCCACGGATAGGGTCCCCACTGGGTCACTGCGCTGTCAGTACAACCCTCTGCTGCCTCTTCTCTCCTCAACCCCTTCCCTTCCTGTCCGCTTCACCCTCTCCCTTCTCCCACCCCACTCCTGTCCATGCCCAAAGGTCACCTGTGGGCTTTTCCCGTGTGCACAGATCTGAGGGCTGTCGCTGGCCACGGTGGCACATTACAGTCCCAGCTGGGCGCGTAGGAGCAGCTTCGCCAGGTGACGGAGCTCAGAGGTGGCACTGCCGGGAGAGGGTCTGCGTACAACCGGCAGAGGGCCCACACCCGGGAACCCCATCACACGGTAGAGGGGAGATGAGGGGACCGTGCAGGACTGAGGAGACCCTGCCCGTGAGGGCGAGGCCGCTCCCGGGCTCCGCTCAGCGCCCAGCTCCAGGGTCCGAGGGAGGGCTCGGGCCGCTCAGCTCTGGCCCCACTAACTCGATTCCCCAACACCGGTCTCTAACTCTCAGTCACTCACCCTGACCTTGCTCGAAGTGACAGGCCAGGGAACCCAACCCCCAGAAAGACTTTCCAGGAGACCCTCGCAGCCCACAGTGCTCAAAAAAAGACACCGCGACAGTCACCCACACCGCGCCCTTACTTGTCCGACCCTCACCTTCCCCGGCCCCTGTCCCGTGCAGCCATGCAGCGCAGAAGTCTCTGCGGTCACGCGGCCACGCGAAGGTCACTCGGAGGGCACAGCTGTAAGAACTTTGAGCTGTGGCCA